GAACGGAAAAAAAAGAAAAGAAGATCAACTCACCTTCGTCTGCCATCTCGTTTTCTTCGAAACAGCAAAGCAATCGCAGGAAACAGCACGTAGCGTCGAACCGAGTCGCATCGAAACAGCAAAGTGATCTCTCTCTCTCTCTCTCTCTCTCTCTCTCTCTCTCTCTCTCTCTCTCTCTCTCTCTCTCTCTGTGCCTTGAAACAGCAAAGTGATCGAAGCAAGCAGCACGTATCAGCGAATGAAGTCGTGTCGAACCGAGTAGGACGTGCAACTGAGTCCCGTTGAAACAGCAAAGTGATCGCGGGAAGCAACACGACCTGCTCAACAGCAAAGTGATCGCGGGAAGCAACACGACCCGCTCTCTCTCTCTCTCTCTCTCTCTCTCTCTTCGAACCGAACTTTCTCTCTCTCGTGCAACCGAGTCGCATCGAAACAGCAAAGCGATCACGGGAAGCAGCAAGTATCGTCGAACCGAGTCGCATCGAACCGAGTCGCAGCGAAACAGCGAAGTGATCGAAACACCCAGCACCTAAATACAACCGGCGACAACCGTCGCGATCGATCGGGCTCCCGTTGGACGACCCGATAGAAGTTTTGGGAACAGCCCAGCACGGATCCCGAAATTTCTATCGGGCCGTCCAAGGCAAGCCCGCTCGCGGCGTGAAAAACGCGCGCAGTGTCCATTGGGCCCGCCTGGCAGTCCCGCCGCGTTTCCCAAGAGTGCGCAGCGGCCTCTCGCGGAAGCGCTACACGAGGACCACTGTTCGCTTAAAGAGTGTTATGGATATGGGAAACATAGCAGTAGACCATCAGTCATGATCAGTGTCGAACTGCAATCTTTTTCCCCAAACATAAAAGATGACCCAGTTTTCCAATTATGTTCGGGGGAAGATGCCACAGCTAAGTTTTTCGATTCTCTGAGTTGCATATGTGTTGGGCTCAGGCGGAATTAAACAACTTGGGCCTGGCCTCATAAACAGGGTTTGAACCCGCAACTTCTGGTGTGACAGACCAACACTTTATCCAACTAAGATAATTTAGTAATTTCCCATCAGGGTAATACTTGGTTTGACTATTGGGTTCTTTCTACGGATCGAGGTCTAGTATCGTGGTCGTTTCGACTTACCTAGGCCTAGTATGGTAGTGGTTTGTATGTATCAGGGTTTGTTACGTTCGGAGGAAGGGGGTACAGGTACACAACGTAAGGTCTTGCCATTATAAATTATGGTTAACTTAAAGATGTGATGCAAAGAAATGGGCAAACTGCAGGGGAAAACAATTTAAATTAGTGAAAAAAAAGCACAACGTGAAACCATGGAACAGTAAGGCAAACGTGAATCATGTGACCATACACGGATGCTCCCTGAAGGAGCAAGGCCAAGCAGCCTTCGATTAAGAAAGGAAAGCAGAAAGCAAGCAAACAAAAAAACAAACAAACAAAACAACTGCAAGGCTATCACAATGGCACCACAATGCCAAGCACCAAAAAGGCACAAAAGTGACAAAACCAATCAATGAATTCATAAAAGAGAACGCGAAGCAGAAAAAATACCCAACGAGGAGGAGAAGCTCAAGCCGAGAGAGAGAGAGAGAGAGAGAGAGAGAGAGAGAGAGAGAGAGAGAGAGAGAGAGAGAGAGAGAGAGAGAGAGAGAGAG